CATACTTGGGCAGGGGCTCAAGGTCATTTTGTCTGTCCCCCCTCATGTCTAGGGGAGCTGCAGCGGCTCTGGGGACCCCGGTGAATACAACCTGCGCTCCCGCACGATCGTGTGCGGCACGTGCGGGCAGCCGGCCGACAAGTCGGGCACCCAGAACGCCGGCATCAACACCATGTCCTCAGGCTCCTCCACCTCCAGCGTGACCGTCACCCGCAGCTACCGCAGCATGGGCGACTCTGGCATTGGCCTCGGGGACAGCCTGGTGACCAGGAACTACCTCCTGGGGAACTCCAGTCCCCGCAGGCAGGTCAGTGCCATTCCCAGACCCCGGGTCCGGGATGTCCCAGTGCTGTCCGTTCTCAACAGGGCAACACTGTAGGGGTCTCGTCCCCTCCCTCCTGTCCTTCACCCTGCTTGTGCTCTTCCTCTTTGGCCTTGCACAAGCCTCTTTGTAAGGGACCGGAGATTCTGAGAAGGATTGGAAAGGGATGTGGCCATAGCAGCTCCCCCTCCCGTCCCATCCCATCCCATCCCATCCCACACGCTGCCCCCTTGGCACCCCAGAGCATCCTCCATCCTCAACACACTCATTCCACCACTGCTAAGTGTTGTTCATGCTGGTAACGTGAACACTTCAGCACTTGAACATATACTTTATATCTATATAGTATTAGATTAATATATACTACATACTATATTAATACTCTCAGTCAATATTATAACCCTCAAGTATCACCTACCACTAGTTCTCAAGTTTCTGAGCCATGAACACCCCAGCCTGGGGGGGGGGTTTATTTATTGTACCCCAAGGGCCGGGGTGGAGGTGAGCCCTGGGCACGCACAGTCCAGGCACTGCGGGTGTGCAGAGGATCCCACTCGACACTTCACAGCCAGAGCAAACAGTGACACTGGGTTCTTCTTAACCCTCTTCTTTTTCCTTCTCCCTCCCAGGCTCAGGCTGTGCAGAACTGCAGCATCATGTAACCCTGTGGCGCATTCCTGTGGTTCCTGCCCGTCTCCAGCTAGGTGTTTTTTTTTTCCCAAAGCAAAAGAAAGATTTTTTTTCCCTTAAAAAAAAAGATATCAAACCCCAAGTTTGGGGGTTTTTGTTTTCTACAGCAGGAATTTTATATATATATATTAAAAGTGCTAAAAGATGCTTTGATTTTTTTTTTTTTTGTAAAGAAAAAATCTATTTCTATATAAAAAAATCCAAACCAAAAAAAAGCTTCTCAGCTTCACAATTTTTTTAAAACTTCAGCCAAAGACAGCAAGGAATCGTGTTTACGGAGCAGCCATGCAGGAGGAGATCATAGCTGAAATGCTCTTTAGATTGTACCTTTTTGCCAAAGCTTTTTACATAGGACTGGGAGAAGGGCAGCCATCCCCACCGGGGCTGCTGTCTTGTCTCGAGTGGAGCACAGTGCCTTTACAACCCTTTTTCTTGGGATCTGAAGCCAAAATTCCCTTTTTTCTTTTCTTTTTTTTTTTTGAGTTGTGATTCCCGGTGGTGCTGGCGTGGGGGCTCCTGGCAGCTTGCAGGCAATGCCCATGTCTCTCCGTGGCCATTGCCCCCTCCCCAGCCCCCTGCCTGCCTGCACTCCCAGCGCTCCACGTACTGTATTCCCCATATTCCCCATCCCAGGCACCTCGTGCCCTTTGGGTTCCCTTTCTTTTTTTTAAGCAGCCAAGTTGTGCCTTAGCCGAGGCAGGGGCCAGGCTGGGAATGCCTGTGGACCCCGCATGGCATCAAGTGGAGGTGGAGTAGGGGAAGTGAAAACCCACCGGAGCTGCATCCCAGGACCAGATGGATTTGGCAGCTGGGGTGATGGACCTTGGCTCCTGCAGGCTCGGCACCAGGAGGACCCTCCAGGTCCCTCTCTTTGGGGGCCGCTGCATCTAATGGGGTTCACCCCAGTTTTTCTCGACTGTGGATAGTCGGGCTCGTCTCCGGTGGCCAGAGCTCAGGAACCGTTTCAGGGATGAGGTGAAAGATGCTCAGTCCAGGCAGGGCTGGTTCGCCAGGAAGGCATCAAGGAAGGTGTTTTGTTTGAGTGAGGGGGAGTTTGGGATCTGGCAGGAGCAGCTTCCCCCTCTGCAAAAGTCCATCCAGCCATTGACAGAGATCTTGGCTTCTTGCCTTGATTGAGGAATGCCTGCAGCCCCCCCAGCCTCAAGTGCAGGGGAGGGCAGGATCAGGTCCCAGGACAAGCCCCCCCGCTCCAGCAGGATCTGGGGAGGCCATGTATTGTATTCATGCTTGCAAAGCTTCTGTATTACTGCCTGTATCTCCTTCCAAAGTCAAAATACAGCCAAACCCTTCCCACGCTGTGTGCTGTCTTCATTGCTGCCCAGGGGGGAATTTGGAGGTGCTGCACAGGGATCCCCCCGGGATCTCTTTTAGCCCCACAGCCAGGGTGGGGGCTCAGCAGGTACTGTGGATGGGGGGAAGCAGGGTGGCCCCCCACACCCTGACTTATCCGAGGGTGGGATGCTGAGATCTGGGGCAGCCCCAGGAGAGGGACTGGCCGGGAGGAGATGGAATTTGCAGTGAGGGCTCAGACCTTCCATACATTGGGGTTTTGGGGACCAGATATTTCCCAGGATGGGATGGCCTGGGGAGGGGGCAGAACCTGAGCAAGCCCCTGACTGAAGGTTTCCTCCTACCATAGGGATGACCCCCACACTCGGCCAGGGGGATCCCCTTTGCCCCCAGGCCGTGCCAGGCACCAGAGCGAGGCGGGAGGCGATGCCGGGGAGAAGGAGAGCCTTAAAGCCGGCACATAATCGGCTTTACCAGGCACAGCGCTGGGGAGCCGCGATGTGAGGGGACGCGGGCGGGCGGCCGGGGCGCAGGCACAGCCAGGTAGGTGCCTGGGGTGCCCATCCTGGGGGTACCCCCTGCCCCAGCGCTTGGACACCTGGGTCCCCCCGAGCCACACGGGGCCACATCATCCCGGGTTTGGGTGCAGCAGGGCTGAGGCTCACAAGGGTAGGGGTTGCCAGGGGGTCTCTGGGGCATCGCTGCCACCTCCCAGCTACAGATGGGCTTGTGGGGATGCAGTGAGATGCCAGGTTGGCAGGGGACACACTGGCCCCCTGCCTGTGCCCTGTTGGCCCCCTGTGTCTGCCAGCTCAGGCATGCCTGTGCCGTGGCACTGGGGCAGGTACCCCCAGAATGCTGCAGCCCATCCCCTCCATGGAGATCCATCCCAGCTCTGAGCCTGGCGCTGCCAGGCCCCAAAAGTTATGAGGTTGTGCCAAAAATAGAAGGTTCTGGAATGGCAGGGAGAAGCCCCACGGAGAAGCCGGGACCTTGTGCTGCTTCCTGGCCATGCTGTCAGGAGGAGACAAGCCAGGAGACACAGGAACTGCCATGGGGAACTGCCATGGGGAAATGCAACAAGGAAATAATGCCCCGGCTCCTTCCCACGCCCCCCACGGGCCCCCAGTGTCCCAACACCCCTGGGCTGGGTCACACTGGGGAAGGGCTGAGCTGGAGACCTGTGGGGTCCCTGCACAGACCCTCAAGGACACTGCAGAGCCCCATGGGGATGATACACACACTATGGGGAGCTTACAGAGCCACATGGGGACCATACACACCCCACAGGGACCTTGCACAGCCCCGTGGGGAGCATGTACAGCCCACAGAGGCCTCACACACCCCTATGGGGACTGTGACAGAGCCCATGACAGAGCTCCAGCCCCATTCCAGCAAAAGCACTGAGTCAATGTGGGGTTTCTCCTGCTCCTCTCGCTGTCCCATGGGGCCGAGCCCTGCTCCAGGTTCTCCCGGAGTCTGCCAGGAGGCAAATGGGAGCCCAGAGCAGGAGCCATGGCCTGGCCTTGCTCACTTGTGCACTGAGTGTCAGAGTCTCTGCAGAGGAGCCCTGGGGTGCGTGGTTGGGTGGGAGCACCTGGGTACACACTGGGGACCACCAGGTTTTTTTGGGGAAAGTGTAGCACAGGGAGCCTTGGAGCAATCCCTGGGACGGGGTAGAGCTGGGACTGACCCCAGTGTCTGGCAGCCACCAGTTTACCAGCCGAGGCATGGCCAAGCAAGTGCTGGGGGCCCCTCCAGGCCCCTGCGTACCCGGGGGGATTAAGGTCAGGCTGCCCCACTAATCCCAAAGGGGAGTTAAGATTTGAGCTTGTGCCCACTGCCACTCCCCAAGGCTGCACCCCAAGGTGTTGCACGTTGTGGGACCCCCACAGGGCGCCCTGGGGGGACCAGGGAGGGCTTGGGGCCTGTGGCTCAGCCGTGAGGTGGGAGGGGTCCCTACAGCAGGCTCCAGATAAGCCTCCAGTGCTGGCAGGCACGAGGCACAAGCTCCTTACAGCTCCCTGGGAAAGGCTCCGAGCTCCCGAACACCACGGGAACCAGGGAGCCACTGGGGGGGCGCTTGGCTGTGCTCCCCAGCCCCAGCAGGGCAGGTACCCCCAGTGATGGGCCTGTGCCAGGCTCGCTGTTTTTGGGGGTGCTGGTACTGCACCCCAGCTCGTGCAGAGACTGGCACCTCCCAGTGCCTCGTGTGTGCTTGTGCAGTGGGGACTGGGGGCAAAGTCACTTGCGGAGTCGTGTGGGGACGGTGGCTGCAGAGGAGGGAAGTGGGGGCTGAGGATCCTCTTTTGGGGCTCAGGGCACCCCACTCTCACGCTCCTGGGAAGGAGAAGGGGGCAAGTTCCAAAGGAGAAGTGGGATCTGCTGGCACCAGCAGGGCTAGACTTCCTGGAAAGGGAAGTTCCAAGGGGCGAAGTGTCATCAAAAAAGATTTGTGGGTGCTGTTGGGGGGGACACACTGGAGGCCTGGTGCCACTGCTGCGCCCCAAACCCCCTTCTGGGACACCCCAAAGGCAGGTAGTGCAGGAAGCCAGAGGGGGTGGGGGTGTCAGTGGTGTGCGTGGGGTGGTGGGGGGGTGCCCACGCGTGTGCCGGTGAGCGCCCACCCTGCCCACACGGGGCGTGGGGTCCGTCTGTCGGGGTGTGCGTTGCTCTGTCGGTGCGGGGCGGGCTCGAGCTGTGCAGCCCCGTGTCCGTCTGTCGGGGTGTCCGTCGGTCTGTCGGCGCGGGGGGGGCCTCAGCCGGCCGAGGTACTGCCGTAGCCATGGCGACGTGAGCCGGATGCGGGGCCGGGGGATGCTGCTCCCGCCCGCCCGCCGCAGGTCGGTACCTCCGCACCGGGACCGGGGCCGGGGGCGGCCGGGGCGGCCGGGGGTGTCCGGGGGGGGCTCCACAGGGGCGGGGGGCCGAGCGGGGCGGGGGCAGTGGCCATAAAGGGGCTGGGCTTTGGGGACCCCCAGGGCTGATGCTGCCAGACAGCGACAAAGGGGCTGAGATCCTGGCCCTGGAGAGAGTCCCCCGCACCCCCTCGCATCCCCCCCGACTCCCCCACACCCTGCCCTCACACCCCTTCTACAGTCCCCTCTCTGCCTCCCCCAGGCCCTGTGCACCCCTTCACACCCCCTCTACCCCCAGCTCCTTCCTGTGCATCCTTCTCTCTCTAACCTGCACCCCCCCAGCTATCCCCACCCTTTGTATCACCCCCCCATGAATCCTCTCCCATCTCCCCTTGCACTCCCACCCCCCAGATTCCTCCCTTTCATCTTCTCATGTCCCTGGTCCACCCTTCCTCCTCCCTTGCTTTCCATCTCCCTAAACACACACACCCTGCTCCAGGTCTGGGAGGGGGGTGGATCAAAGGAGCCTCCTCCAGGCTAAGCTGCCCCAGCCCCTTCTGGGTGTTGGGAGCATCTCTGCACCAACCCTCATGCCACAGGGATGCTCCTGGGAGGTGACATGGGCAGGGAGTTGGAGACCAGCAGGAGAGAAGGACCCTGCTGTGAGAAACTGAGGCACTGGGAAGGTCTGGGCAGCCGGGAGATCAGTGCCACCAGCTGCACAGCTGCCCCACGCTGGCACAGCTCACCTTGCTGAGCACACAGGCTGGGCCTGGCTCTGCCCCTGGCTTACAGGGAATCCTCCAAGAGGAGATCCAAGCAGGGCCGAGATCCACAGAGCCATGGCCGTGGTCAGCCCGTAAGCGTGAGGGGTAAACTAAACCACCCCAGTGTCGAGAGGCCCTTGGTGACACTCGCTCCCACGTGCCAAATCCCATACAGGGAGGCTGTAATGACAACACCCACGACATCCCCAGACCACTGTGGCCAGGGGACCCAGAAAAGAGGAGGGACAGGGCTATGAAGGGATTCCTGCTCCCCAGTCTGATAGAGCAGCCTTGAGGCTGCTCCTGCCTCACATCCCGTCAGCACTGGCTTGTGCTGGGGAACACTGGGAGAACACTGGGTGTTTCCCCCAGCCCCCTCCCCGAGCTTTCAGCCTTACCAAGGAGCCTCTGCTCCCTTTCCCACTCCCTCCTCCCCCTCTGCGGCCCCGATGGCTCTGGCCCAGGGCAAAACAATGCGGCCGGTCCAAGGCTCCGTGCGGCCCCGTCCCTCGGCCAGCCCTTCGCCAAGTGGGAAATCCGGGGCAGAGTAACCTACTTTCTGTGCTCACAAGGAGCTTCTGTCCCAGCCAAGCAAGGTGGTGGGGACAGCACTGCCCTCCTGGGGCTCCGTGTCCCGGCGGGCCGGTGTGGGCACCGGGGGAGGCAGGTAAGGAGGCCCCAACAGGGCAGGATGCTCCTCAGCCTCGGCCGGAGAGGGACATTGCGGTGCCTCAGGTGTGGCTGTGGTGTTCAGGGGACCCCAGGGATTTGGCTTTGGTGGATTTCTTGCCCACAGCCATCCCGGAGCAGCCTGGGGTGGAGGATGGAGACCCCAGAGAGGCAGGTTCCTGGGACAGTTGCAGGAGCTTTGTGGGGGAAATGCTTGGCCCTGGGGGGGCTGTCTATGGGGGCAATGCTTGGCCCCAAGGGACTGTTTGTGGGAGCAGTGCTCAGGCATGGCAAGCTGTTTGTGGGGGTAATAGCCCCATGGAGCTGTTTGTGGGGGCGATGGATTCCTGGTCCCTGGGCCTGTTTATGGGGGTAATGCTTGGCCCTGGGGGGCTGCTTGTGGGGGTGATGCTTGGCCCCAGGGGGTAGTTTGTGGGGAGCAATACTCGGCCCTGGGGGGCTGTTTTTCGGGGTGATGCTCAGGCCCGCTGTCGGTCCTCACAGCCCACAGGAAAAATGCCATTGCTTTGCTCACCCCGAAGATTTTCCCAAAGTAGGAAGTGAACCCAGGCATCTGGGCACCCCGTTTGCCCCCTGCCACCCACTGGGCACCTAGCTGGAGGAGCAGAGTACCCCGAGTTCCCATCCCAGCTGCCTCCACCAGGCTTCGCTGCCGTCCCCGCGGGGGTGCGAGGCCGGGGAGGCGGGCGCAGGCACCCGCTGCCCCAACCTGCCGAGGCTCGTCCTCTTCCAGCAGGACTTTCAGGTTCCCGCAGTCCCGGCGGGGCCACGCGGGGCTGGGCTGGGCTACAGCGAGCCCAGCCCGAGCCGTGCTGGGGGTCCGGCAGCGGGGCCACCCTTCAGCTGGACGCGGGGCATGGGCCCGCGGGGGTCCTGTGCCCGCAGCCCCCAGGGCTCAGGCTCCCGCCGGGTGCCGGTGCTCCAGGGGTGGAGGTGAGCGGCTCTGCTGGCGCCCTCCGGAGAGGTAATGCTGCTCGCTGGGCACACGGTGGCCACGAGCAAGGGGTCCTGGGGGCTGTGAGGTTCTTGAGACGCGGCTCTTTCCCCATTGCTTCTGCTGTGAGCTGCAGAGAGAGCTGCAACAGGGGGGTACCCCGTGTATTCCCCGCTCCTTTTTGTGGACCCTCTGGCCGATGATGGAGCTGGACAGAGGAACCCCTGACAGAGATGGGCACCGTGGGGCTCTGCGGGGGCAAAGGCCGGAGCATCTGGACACCCCTGTGCGGGTGGTCCTGGTGCAGGAGCCCCATAGGGCAAGGGGACATCTCTGGCTGTACTGGTGCGGCAGTGGGAAGTTCTCACCCGTACTGGGGGGGCCACACGAGGCTCGAGGCACTGAGGCACCCCCCCATCCTCCCCCTCTGTTCCGGGTGCTGCTTCCCCGTCTTGTTTCCGCTGGTTTGAGGTGACGCGCAGCCCAGCAGCTCGTGCCCTCACCCTCTCCCTCCCCACAGGGATGGTGCTGGGACCCTCTCGGGGCACATCCCTGCCGCCCCCCGCCATGCCCGCCGCCCTCCGCCTGCTCTGCGGGGTGGTGGTGCCGGCTGCCATGCTCTGCACCGAGCCCCTGCCCCGCATCACCTTCCCCAGCGGTGAGTAGGACCCCGGGGAGGAGGGGGAGGGCTGGGAAGGGCTGGGACAGCTGGGGAGGGGGGACACACAACATTGGCCTGGGGGAGTGTCCACCTGCAGGGTTGAGTATCCAGCATCAGGAGCTGTGGGCTGCTCCCCATCAAAGCCTCATCACTCCTCTCCTCACCCCCATGTGGGGCTGGGGACTGTGCCAGTGGCCACGGGTGATGCAGTGGGTGAGGGGATCTGATTAGGCTGGTTGGCACCCCAGCAACTGTGGGAGTAGGAGCTGGGGACTCACCCCAGGGTGCCAGACCCAGCAGAGCCATTTTGTCACTCACTTGGCACTCAGGGTCTGCTCAGGGTCACCCTTAGGAGAGGAAAAGGTGCCTCTGGAAGGGACAAGGCACAGTGTGTCCAGCTGAAAGGCAGGTGGCAAAGCAGGGGTTTGGGGGGGCCGTGGGGTGATGGTTGGGCAGCAGGAGGGTCTGTGCCCCATGGCGGGGCCGTGCCCTTCCAGCTGTCACTTCCCATTTCCCACACAGCCATGATCAGAATTACAAAATCCCCCCCATTTTGGTGCCTGGTGGGGGCAAATGAGAAGCTGCAGTCCCTGTCTGTGTCTGGGGGCACCCAGGGGGCTTGTGACCCCCGCCCAGGCTGGCACCCCGGGGCAGTGCATCCCCCAAATGGAGCACTGCCCTTGGCCTTGGCCCCAAAGCATCACAGGCACAGCTTGGGGGAAAATGCACCCCAATTCTGGGGTCTGAGACATCCAGCTCTTGCAGCAGAACCTGGAGAGGGGAGGGGGAGGTGGGGACCTGGATGTGGGAAGTGGAGACTGTGATGTGGGAGCTGTGGGGCAAGCACTGCACCCCATTTCCTGCACTAGAGGTGACACAAGCCATGGTGGCAGCTGCTGCCACATCCGCCCGGCGGTGACGGTGGCCGTGGGAGGTGTGTGTGTCCCCTGGCCCCCGTCACCCCCTTTGTTCCTGCCAGAGGACCCACGACGGACCCTCACCCACTTCAGCCAGGACAACGTCTCGCACTATGACATCTTCCTCCTGGATGAGAGTGAGGAGGAGCTGTATGTGGGGGCACGTGACCGGGTGCTGGCCCTCACTGTCACCCCTGGGAGCATCCGTGCAAGAGCCTCGGTGAGCAGCTGCCACTTCTGGGGAAGCAGAGGGGTTCCCCTCCTCCCTCAGTTCCCCTGCTGCGGCTGGGCTCAACAGCCCGGGACCACTTCCATTCCCTTTGCAGATAATGTGGGGACCCACGGCTGAGAAAACCTCTGAGTGTGCTTTTAAGAAGAAGAGCCAAGAGGTGAGATGGCTCTGTGGGGGCTCAGGGGGTCCCACGGAGCTGCTGGGGTGCTCAGCCCCCCGCTCTGCTCTTCCCCCCCCAGACTGAGTGCTTCAACTTCATCCGAGTCCTGGTGGCCCTGAACCAGACCCACCTCTACGCCTGTGGGACCTATGCCTTCAGCCCTGCGTGCACCTACATCGTGAGTGTCCCCCCCAGGACAGGGCCTGGGGGGGTCTCTGGGCAGGTTGTGTTTGTTGAGGACCCACAAAATACAGCCCCAGGAGTGAATTACATCACAAGGTGTCCCTGGGATGGGGGGTGCTGGGTGTCCCCCCACAAGGGGCATCTTTGTGTTCCATAAAGGAGCACCCAGTGATTCTCACTCAGCTGCCAGAGACTCTTCCCCTGGCAGGGAAACTCTGATTTTGGGTCCTGGTCCCCTCAGGTGACCCCAGGCTCCCTGTCCCTGTCCCTGCCTCAGTTTCCTCCTGGCTGAGGATGTGATGGGGACCACCACTCCCCAACAGGAAAGTGGGGAAAGGTGACAGGAGCTGGGTACCCCCCGTCGTGCCCTGTCATCATCCCTGCACCCACCTTGAAGACACAGGTCACCCCATGTCTGCAAGGGATTCCACATCCATTCCCTGCAGATTTGGGGTTGTTTTCGCTCCTTTGGCTGATTTTTCTCCCCTTCCCATAGCACCTGGAGAACTTCACACTGGTGTCCAGTGGCAGAGGACAACCCTTCCTGGATGGGAAGGGCCAGTGCCCCTTTGACCCCCAGCACAACTACACGGCCCTGCTGGTGGGTGAGTACGGGGCCAGTGGCCCCACGGGTGGGCACAGCCCTGGATGGAGCAGAGGGTGACAGTGTCCCCACCATGGCTCACCCCTCTGCCCTGTCCCCGAGCAGATGGTGAGCTCTACGCTGGCACCATGAACAACTTCCAGGGCAACGAGCCCATCATCTCCCGCTCGCTGGGCACCCGCACCCTGCTCAAGACAGACGCCTTCCTGCGCTGGCTCTCAGGTGAGCAGGGGGTCGGTCCTGTGCCGGGGGTGCCTGCAGCCCCCTCGACTCCAGCTCCTCACCCACCTGCCCTGGCTGTGCCTGTAGATGATGCTGCCTTCGTGGCCTCCTTCAGCATCCCCGGGGACGACAAGGTCTACTTCTTCTTCGAGGAGACGGCCGAAGAGTTCGACTTCTTCGAGCGGCTCCTGGTGCCACGGGTGGCCCGTGTCTGCAAGGTGGGTGCAGGGGTGATGGCAGGGGACGATGACAGGGGATGATGGGGGTACAGAGATGGGGGAAGATGATGATGATGGGGGAAAATGACAGGGAACAATGATGTGGGGTGATGGTGGGGAACGATGGGGGCACAGTGATGGGGCATGATGACAGGGGACAACGACACGGACAATGATGGAGATGATGATGATGGGGGACAATAGTTGGATGACGATGGGGGACGATGACAGGGGATGATGATGGGGGATCATAAAGATGACAGGAACCATGGAGGGTACAGTGATGGGGGATGATGACAAGGCATGAAGACAGGGCACAATCATGGGGGACAACAACAGGGGATAAATGGGGGTATCCAGCTCCTGTTGCTGAGCACCCTCTGACTCCCACAGAGTGATGTGGGGGGGGACAAGGTGCTGCAGAAGAAGTGGACGACATTCCTGAAGGCACAGCTCGTGTGCTCCCAGTCCGGCCACTTCCCCTTCAACGTCATCCACCACGCCTTCGCCCTGCCCCGCCCTGGCGGCGGTGCCGACTTCTACGCCGTCTTCACCTCGCAGTGGTGAGTGCCCAGGGGTGCGACGGGCGCCCGGGGTCCTGCGGCCTCCTGGTGCCCACCTGGATGTCCCCACAGGCAGGCAGGCAGGGCGGGCAGCGCCGCCGTCTGTGCCTACAGCCAGAAGGATCTGGAGAAGGTCTTCGAGGGCAAGTACAAGGAGCTGAACAAGGAGAGCTCCCGTTGGACTGTCTACAGCGGCCCTGACATGAGCCCCCGGCCTGGCAGCGTGAGTGCTGCCCACCCTGGGGGACTGGACCCTCCCAGGGACAATGCTGGTCCCCAAGGGAAGGGGTTTGTCTGTCAGTTTGCCCAGTGTGCTCGCACTGCAAGCAGGATGCTGGCACAGGGCAGCGTTGTGACACAGCACACTCTCCCCTCCCCATGCCTCGGTTTCCCCTCAGTTTCAGAGCACTGACCCCTCTCTCCCTGCAGTGCTCCGTGGCTCCCTCCTCAGACAAAGCCCTCACCTTCATGAAAGACCATTTCCTGATGGATGAGAAGGTGTCACCCATCCAGGGGAGGCCGCTCCTGGTGAAGTCAGACGTCACCTACACGCGCATCGCAGTGGATGAGACTCGTGGCATCTCAGGGACCACCTACCGTGTCCTGTTCCTGGCCACAGGTGGATTTTTGGGGGGGTGCACACAGGGCCACCCATCTGACCCTTCCCTTGGCTCCAAAGCCCTGGTGATATCCCCTGTGCCCCACAGCAAAGGGTCTCCTGCACAAGGCAGTGGAGCTGCCCGAGGGTCCCCACATCGTGGAGAGCATCGAGCTCTTCCGGACGCCGGAGCCGGTGAAGAACCTGCTGCTGGCCCCGGGGAAGGTAAGGAATGGGACCACCCAACAGCCACCCCAACCCTGGCGTGGGGGCTGAGGGGTGGCTCAGCCACACACCTCCCTCTCCACAGGGCACCCTCTATGTGGGCTACTCCAGAGGTGTCCTCCAGGTCCCACTGGCCAACTGCAGCCTGCACCGGAGCTGCGCCGAGTGTGTGCTGGCACGGGACCCCTACTGCGCCTGGCATAGCCCCGAGGGCTCCTGCCAGCCCACCCGCATGGCCACTGAGGACAGGTGAGCACCAGGATGAGGATGGGAAGGGGGATGCAGAGGGGACTGGGGTGCTGACCCCGCTCTCCCGGCCACAGGAGCATGTGGCTGCAGGACGTCGAGACGGGGAGCCCGGCCAACACATGCCACCGCGGGAGGAGCGTGGCCATGCCCCGAGCCTGGGGGGCACCGGAGGATCCCACCATACAGGGTTGAGTATGGGAGAGTGGCGGGGTGGGACACATGGATTGGGATGGGGCACACAGAATGGGATGGGGCACATGGGATGGAATGGATCACACAGAGTGGGATGGGTCACATGGGTGGGATGTGGCACACAGAACGGGATGGGGCACATGGGATGGAATGGATCACCCGAAGTGGGATGGGTCACATGGGTGGGATGGGGCACGTGGAGCGGGATGGGGCACAGAGAGTGAGATTGGGCCCATGGGGTGGGATGGGGCACACAAGGTACTCTGCCTCACCCCACTCTTAACACCCGCAGTGCTCAACCCCCAGCCAAACACCATCGTCCACCTGCTGTGCCCCTGCCACTCTGCACTGGCCACCTACAGCTGGCAGCAGCCCAGCAGTGCCCAGAAGGACACGATGCAGCTGCCTGACCACACGCTGGTGGTCATCATGCAGCCGGAGACAGCCGGCATCTACAAGTGCCAGGCCACGGAGAACGGCTACACCTGGACCGTGGCTCACTATCAGCTCAAGGGCTCTGTTGGGGCAGCCCTGGGGGATGGGCTGGATGAAGAGGAGCTGGCCTGGGGGTCCTCGGCCATTGGCACCCCCGGGTCATACTGGTCGCAGTTTGTGACGGTGACGGTGCTGCTGGTGGTGACAGTGACCGCGGCCGCCTGCCTGGCCCTGCTCGCCTACCGCGACCAGCTCAAGGCCCGCAGCAAGGTGCGGGGCTGCAGCGCTCCCCACAGCCCCCCATCCCGCCACCGGGAGAAGGTGCCCCTCAACGGGGGCACCGGAGAGCCCCCGGCGCCCGGAGCCGCTGCTGAGGAGGAGGAGGAGGACGAAGGCTCCCACGCTTGCTGCCTCCAACTCGACGGGGACATCGACGTGGACAACAACCGGCTCCACGTGCCGGGGCAGAACACGGCGTGACACTGTCAGGGGACACCCTGGGGAGGGTGGGAGGGAGGGGATGTGAATGTGAAGGGGTTTTGATTTTTTTTTGGGGGGGTGGGGGGCTGTTTTGGTTTGGGTTGGGTTTTTTTGGTTTTGTTTTTTTTTTATTTAATACACGTGTTTTAACAAAAGGTGACATGCTGGGGCAGGGGGTGAGGTGGGCCCTAGGAGCAGCGGAGGCAGGATGGGGCAAGGGGGTGGGATAGAGAGAGGGCAGGGGGCAAGGGCAGGTCAGGGGGACAGAGAAAGGACATGGCACAGAGAAGGAACGTCGCTGTGGGGCCAGGATGTGGGGCGGGGATGGACAGATAGACATGGCGGATGCTGTCACTGGTGTCACCCAGGGAAATACCCCCAGGATCCATTAAAACCTCAACACAGGGAAGGCTGAGCCTGCCAGGCTCCATGGGCCGACCCCACGGGCACCCACCCTGCACTGCCAGACTCCCTTCCCAGACACCGCATGGCCCTGGGGCGGCGGAGCCCCCTCAGTCCTCCCCAGCTGCCCCCCCATTTCCTACGCCTTTGATCCGCCCTTTCTAAGCCAAACCAGCTGTAAATTTTCCTGCCCTTTGCTTTTTTTATTAAAAAAGGAAAACTGAACACATGGCACTGCTGGGCCTGGGGAGGGAGGAGCGCCGGGGGCAGCGCCAGCCCAGGCCTTTCGGGCAACCTGGGGGTGGCGAGGCGTGTTCGAGGGCAACACATGTGTGCCTGGGGGGGACACGTGTTCACGTGCAGCTCAGGCACCTGGAGGGTGTGACACACGTGCACACGCATGTGCACATGCGTGTGCAGAGCATGTGGGACGCGTGTGCAGGTGTGTGAGGTGGGCACATGAAATGAGGGGCGACGACATGGGGGGGGGAAGGCTCTCTTACACCCGCCCACTGCTCCCTCCCTTTGCGTGCATCCGTGCTGTTGCCCCTCTTGCCGCCCTGTTGCCGCCGTGTCTCCGGCCCTTCCAGAATTCCCCCCAGGAAGCACAGGCTGAGAGTCGCTGTCCCTTTAAGAGCAGTGAATTGGTCGCGGTCCCTTTAAGGCGCGCGCGCCCTCTCCCTGCGCACCCCTCCCACCTCCCGGGGCGGTGCCGCCATCTTTACTGCGGGCGCGGGATACGGCACTTCCGGCGCGGCCTCAGCCCTTGCCCAAGATGGCGGCGGCGCCCGGGCGCTGACGCCACCGGTCACTTCCGGCCGGGGGGCGGCCATGGGGCGGCGAGGCCGGAGCGGGCCGTGCCGGGGGTCGAGCGGAGGGTGCCGCCCGCTGCCGAAGGTGAGGGGGCGGCGGGGCCGGGCCTGCGGAGCGGGGTAGAGCCACCTGACCGCGGTGGCTCTGCCCGGTGCGGGGCCGGCGTGGGTGGTGGCGGCGGCGGTGGCTGAGCGAGGCCCCGAGCGGGTGCGGGGGAGCTGCGGGGAGGGACGGCGGAGCTGCAGGTGGGGAACGGGGGGGCACAGAGAGACCAGGGGGGCGCGGGTGGTGTGAGAGGGGGCCGGGTAACGCAGGACCCCCTCGACTTTGAGGAGCCCCGGGACAGGGGCTGGAACCCCCCGGGGCAGTGGCTGGACCCCCTCGGGGCTGCGGGAGCGAAGCCGCCCAGGGCCAGGCGGGGACACCCCCGGGACACGGGGCTGGGGACGAGTGTGGCCCGCGCAGTGACCTTGAGCGGGTCCCCAGGCCCAGCTCTGCTCCTGTTCGCACGGCCGAGCTTTTGTAGACGAAGGACCAGCGCTGGGGGCTTCGCCCGGGGGGTGGGAGCGTGAGGGGGGACTCCTGAGTGCGGGGCTGGGGGTGCTGGGGAAGGAAGTGTCTGTGCCGCAGCGGTTACTGAGCGACAACTGCTCCGGGGGGCTGCGGGTTCTCGGAGAGGCTGGGGCCGAATCCTTTCTTCCCCCCCGGTTTGTATCCAGAATTTCCCCCCCTGGGGTTTATATCCACAGTTCCCCCACCCCCCGGGGTTTATATCCACAGTTCCCCCCCCGGGTTTGTATTCAGAACACCGCCCCCTCCTCGGCTTTGTCTCCGCTCCCACCCTGGGGTGAATTTAAGAAGTGACCGCTTAAGGACTTTGCCAGGGGAGCTGCCAGCTGGGGCTGGTGTCGTGGCACAGGGAAAGGGCTCCGGATTGGAGCCTCGCAGTGGGATTGTGGATCTCGTGCTTTCCCGCTTGGGAGCATCTCCACAGGCAACCCTGGTGAGCAGCTGGGGCTCGCTCCGGATGGTTCCCAGGGGGTGCTGAGGCATTAACATGCTGGGCAGGACACAGCCCTGGCCAGGGGACACAAAGGCCCTGTCTCTGTTTGCCAGGGAATCATCTTTAGCTTCAGCTGCAGCCAGAGCGGTTTTGGGGACTGCACTGACAGGGCAACGTTTAAAAGGACCTTAACTGGAGCATTGTGCTAAATTGAGTTTTGTGTTCAGGAGGCTGAGGCTGTGCCCAGAGTAACCGGGGGGGGGGATAGCCTGCTGGGTATCCCCTGCTTGGATCTCCAGGCAGAAATTCAAGAAATGCTGTTCTGTGCAGGGTGGGAAGGGACCAGTGAGGGGTAGTCTGAACTGTTCCAGAGGTGAAGTGCAGAATTGGCTGTGGGAGCTGGGAGGGAACCTGGTGCACTGGTGCTTTGGTTTGGAGAGCAGGTCAGTTCTTGGGAGAATTTACTTGAAAGATCATCCAAGAGTTGTTGAATGGATGTGACGGGATCCCTGGATCCCTGCCCTGAGCAAGGCTTTGGTCTAAATTTCTGTAAGAATTAAATGCTCTGAGAGAAACTCTCGTGTTGGCAGAACAAGAATTGTGGCTGTGCTGGTCATCCCTGGGGGTGCCAGCATGCCTTCCCTCCTCCACACAGGAGGGGCTTTTAGTGCCCATGGGCCCGAGGACTTTGTCTTTCTAATTCAGATCCCCGGTGAGAGGAGTTATTTGTAATGAGTCCAGAGAAAATGCAGCTATTTCCTCAAGGGGTTATGGCTGAAATTCTAAACCCAAAGCACCAGAGTACATGAAACTACATAAAAATCAAGGATATTTCATTATTATTATTATTTTGTTTTCCTTATTGCAGCAATGAGGATGTTTTTTGCAGGTAGTCCTTCACTTTCCCATGGGGAGCTCGTTTCTGTCCTTGGGTGTCAGAGGAATTTGGAGTATGGACTAAACCCTCAGGCTTCACCAGGAAATTGAATTGACCAGACTTTGTTTTATTTTTTTTAAATAAAATATTGAGTTAGTGAGACTAACTTAACTTACTTAACAAGAACCAAGTCATGTTTTCATAGGTTCTGTTTGCAGATAATTCCTGGGCAGGAAGCTTTGTGAGTTAATCATGGCACTCTTAGCAAACCCAGTAATGCTGTAATTGTAATTAAAGCAATCCTGGCTTTGTTTAGCCAGGCCATGGTGTTTGTTGTGCCTTATCTGCCAAGACAATTGCTTGTAAGGATGAAGAGTAGTTCTCTTTGCATTGGTAAAACTGTTGGACCCAGTGCCCTTAGGTATTTTTAACTGCCCTGTCTGTGGCAGCCTGTAATACTGTTTGCTGCTGTTCAGCAAATATTTTCTTGGCAGACAGGCAACAAAATGGTCAGTTAATGGCAGCTCCACCCCTGCCCTGCTGTAATTTCATAACTGTAGTTTCTTCTCCGTGCCAGAGGTAAATAATTTCCAGTTGTTTTGTTACTGCCTTTCTAACCGAGTGGCTCTGGACCCTGTGAGCTCTCCACGGAGGCTGCAGTGGGGAGACATTTCTCACAGGATCACAGACTGGTTTGAGTTCAAAGGAACTTAGACCTCATCTTGTCCCACAGGACACCTTCCACTAGACCAGGTTGCTCCAAGCCCCATCCAACATGGCCTTGGACACTCCCAGGGATGAGGCAGCCACAGCTTCCCTAGGTAACCTGTGCCAGGGCCTCCCCACCCTCACAGGGAACAATTCCTTCCCCATATCCCATGTAACTCTGCCCTCTGGCAGTGGGAAGCCACTCCTCCTTGTCCTGTCACCCAAGAGCTTGTCCAAAGTCCCTTTCCGCCTCTCTTGGAGCCCGTTTAGGCACTGTGGAAATGTAAAATGCCCTCAAATCGATGTGTGGTGGTCACTACCCCTCCCTTTGAGTTCTCACTTGGTCAATCTGCTTTCAGGTGTCAGGTTGTGGGCCCTTCGTTCCAACTCCTGCTCCTCACTGCAGCTGCTCTCCGACAGCTCAGTTCCTGCCTGGGCACACAGGCAAAACCCCATTTGCCAGCACGTGGAATGTAAGCTGTGATCCAGCTGTAGTCAAGCCCTTCCCCAAAGTTCAGTGATCTGTTACTCCCTGACACCCCAAGGTGCCTTTTTTGTTGTGGAAAGAAAGCCCTTGCAGGCAGTGAAACGATCACTGTCGTGTTGTGTGACTATCTGAGCTGCCCTTCTCTTGCTGCCTGGCCCTGTGTGGAGGTTCCCTGAGAATTAGGGGCTTCCTGAGGGGAAGGGTCTGCTGGAGGAGGCTGAGCCAGCACCTCCCTCCTCCTCCCCCTGCCTCTGGCACTCTGAGCATGGCCAGTGGTGGAAGGGGGGGCAGTGTGGGGGGTTATCAGACCAGGAGCAGTGTTGGAAGGGAGGATGAACTTTGCTCTGTAGCTGACAAGCAGCTCAACAGAGAGATCCTGGGCTGTGATTTAACCCTTTTTTTCCAGGGTATTGGTCATCAACATGGAGACTCTACGTGGCTCCTTGCATTGGCCTTGTTTTCCTGCTGTTGTTCCTCTTTTCATAACTTTCTCATCCCCCTTCCCTGGCTTGCATCATCCTCCAGCTTTAGGAAGATCCGAATGGAAATGCCCAAAGAAACGTGTCTGATTTGTGCAGGGAATCTGGGAACATAAACAGAAACTTGTCACTTCCTTCTTTGTCTAGAGCCTGGAACTGAAGTGACGTCCTGACAGCTGGGAGCATCACAGACCCGGAATGACTGGGGAGAAGCTGCTCTGGTTGGCAGTCTGTGATCCTGTGTGTCCGTTGACAG